ACACACTGTGTGTGTTTATTTGTGGATGTATGTGTGAGATAGAGATGGGGGGCTGTAAAAAATCTTCAAATGTCTCGCCCGAGGACATCACTTTGATGTGAGGCAGATTGAATGATCATCAGCTAAGCTAAAAACCTCTCAGACCTCTGGAACAGCCATACTGTAAACGCAGAGATGAGATTGAAATTGATCTTCCACATCTGTCTCTGGGTCAGGCGGCAAACAAGAGGATTGTATATTTTACGTACTACACAACGAGAGAGAAAGATAAAAGAAACCCAAACAGTGTATTGTGGAGTCAAACACAAGTCAAAGTCTGTGTTGTTAGTAGATCATGTTCAGTTGTATTCCAAGTCAAGTCGTGGTTATAATGAATGTTTTTTCACCTGCTGCGTTCCAGGCTGCTTTTAAAACCGCATGGCTATAAAGAATTCTGTAACTGTGACCTGTTTTTCACATACAGAGCACAACCATGTAATGTGCAATGCAATTAATGACAGCTCAAACTACTGTAAGTCAACACACCCCCAGACTCTCAAACTCAGTGTAACGTTATAACTAAATAAAACTGTAACGTTGCATGATCAACAATAAACCTGTAACCTGTTTGCAGCCACCGTTAATAATTAACGTGATGACAGTCAGTGGGACGTTAATCGACCACCACAAGTTTGGCAAGCAAACAAACGCTCATTCATCTTTTCATAACGAACGACAGACAGAGTTAACCCCCCGTAGGTCGTAGCTAAAGCAAGAAGAAAGCTAACGTTAATGACCAATGCTGAACTAAACATGTTGACTAACCTCGGGTTATTAACCTATTTTGCGTTCAGTGCTTCTTTGGGTTGGGCTTGTTGTATGAAGTTTTAAAGCCAAAGTTTATGAAGAATGGCCCAGCAGCTGCCGCTGTCTGTTGTCCTCTCTCGCGTGTGGCTGCGTGCGGCTGATATTACGCGTTACGTAGGCAGGTTATAATTAACAAAGGGAGGGAATAACGGTGAGCTCATCAGACGATTCCTAAAAATAAACATTGTTCACGAGTCCCACACCTCGAGTCCGAGTCAAGTCTGAAGTCTTTTGGGGACGAGTCTCAAGTCAAGTCTGAAGTCACTGTGTCCGAGTCTCTAACTCGAGTCCCCGTCTCTGGCTATTACCAGCGATTACGTATATTTGAGCTTGTACATTCTGTTTGTTGATTGTAAACAGTCATTTTTTCTGTAGCCATCAGAAACAGGAATATGTGTCGCATTAGTGGTCTCTGTTTTTTCAGGCACAGCCAACACAGAGTAGGAACGTTTATTTGTCTTAAGGAATAATTATGATCTTATGAACATAGTTTTATAGTAATTGTCAAGTCTGAGATTATAAATCGGATGATGTCATGGTGGTGTCATCATGGTTAAATAAGTAGATAGGTCAGATGCTATCGAGTTGCATTGTGGCAATTGTAGGATCCGGGGTTTTGGAGCATGACCCATCCATCCATCCATCCATCCATCGTCAACCGCTTATCCTGCGTACAGGGTCGCGGGGGGGCTGGAGCCAATCCCAGCTGACATCGGGTGCAAGGCGGGGTACACCCTGGACAGGTCGCCAGTCCATCGCAGGGCCACACATAGTTGAACAACCACTCACACTCACAATTTAGTACAATTTAGGGTCACCAATCAACCTAGTCCGCATGTCATGGGACGGTGGGAGGAAGCCGGAGCACCTGGGAGAGAACCCACGCAGACACGGGGAGAACATGCAAACTACACACAGAAAGGCCGTGCTAACCACCGCACCACCGTGCCGCCCAGCATGACCCATACTAGATACTAAACACTTAAGAGTTGTTCCATACAGAGTGTCAAAATCCCATCTCCTCTGGGTTATTAAAATGAATTGTGTTGTCAGAGAGGTTATTTCTGGGAGTGCTTACTTTATGTAAGCCAATTATTTTTCCTTATAGTATTTACAATAACTGTGCGGTGCATCTGTAGAGATGTGTGCCCTGATGTGACTCACTGAATTCAACTGATTAAGAAAGTAGATCTATACTGTACTGTACTATAGTATACTATACAGTTTAGTCAACAGACAGTAGTAATTGAATCACAGTTTTCGATGTAATCCTAAAAATAATCTTGTTCACATCATGTACACCTTGACAGGAGTTTCAGACTCTCCCAATTTGTTAATTCAAGGTTAGGATGCTGTAAACAACTCGGCAAGTTCAGTAAGTATGTCTGATATTGATATAATGATAAAATACTGCTGTATATCAATCTTTGTGGGTAGCCTAGACTGGAGCTGGCACTGGTGCAAGCTCATCAGGGTTTGTTCAGCTACATTATGTCCCAATTACGACCCAAAAGTGTCACCTGCACTACTTAAAGTAAGCTAGAATTTGCCACAGTACAAATGAGTATCAAATGAGTTTGTAACACTATTTTAAGTAGTGTAATGCTTCTATTTTGATAACTAACTTGAAAAAAACTAAAGCTGATTTTTATGAGGTGGCTAGAGCTTTTGTCAGTGTTGGACTGTAGAAGGTTGTGGCTATTTCATGGAAATGCAGAACAGATACATACCAAACTTGAAAAAAACACAGTAGGAAACGTTTTTTTTTGCTCCTTTTTTGCACCAATGAAGATGGGAAATCTTGCATTCTGCCTTTGGTTTATTATACAATATTATTTACAGTATAAAGCATGGACAAAGGGACAAAAATCAGGCCAAATGTCTGCAGTTCCTCTGCAGAGATTTTTTGAGTTTCATGATAACATTTATGTTTAATCATAAAGTGTATAAACCTACAAATGATGTTGTCACGCTGTACATTCAGGTATCTTCCATAGCCAGAAAATCTGCCATGGTCGTCGATCTGTGGCATTGCTGTACCGCAATTGTTTCCAATCACCTGACATTTATACGCCCTTTTCAATGTGAACTGTATTAGGGAAAAATTATGTGATAGCTTTATCATACAGTCAGCCTCGTCGGCTGCATTGTGTAAGGTCCGTCTTGTGGAAAAGTCCATTTGCAAGCGATGTACTGTATGTTCAGATGTGATGAGAGACAGGTAATCACATGCAATTATTTATGAGGCACATGAGTCACTGCGCTGCTGGAACATCACGTCTGACACTCTGCTTGTTCTCTACATCATGACATCATGTCTTTCTTTGCCAGCGTCCTCATGATTTCATTCTAGCGTCATCATACATCACGTCACCAATCACCAAGTATTATTGACAGGGACGGGTGTTAAAACTTCACAAAGTTTCATGCCGGCTAATGTCGAGTTAAAGGAATTATGCTAAGCGGCACAGAATTATGGAAATAATAATTGCGGAGAAATCAGTTTGTTTCCATATTTAAACATGGTGAAGGGGCTGCTGATTGGCACGACACGCATTACTCACAAGGACTCTGCCTCACACAGTCTCTCACTGTCTCTCACACATACACACAAAGTGGATCTGAAGGTATATGGATGAAGCAGCAGCAGACATTGCTGTGGATTGATGGGAAGTACAATTAAGGGCGGAAACACTGCAGATACACATAGCTGGCAGTCTTGGTTGCACCTCATTACACTTATGTGTTTCAGGCACTCCAGATTAGAGGAAATCAGTTGTGTCCAGCCATGTGACCACAATGCCCACAGGCCCAGTGATTCATCACTGCTCCTCCATATGAACAGTCTCAGTCCAGCAGGACAACCACTGTTTCTATTCCAGAGAGCTTGAAAGGAATGTTGACCAACAGACATGCTCCTGAGTCTGATACTTGGTCTTGGTTGGGTGTCTTGTACTGAATGTCCATAGATTGATTGCATGTCCAGATATTAAACATATCTTTTCATGACATCCAAAGGTGGTCCTGGACTGACCAATTTGAAATGGACATAACATACACACCAATGCAGTGAGCATTTACTGGGGTTATTATTACTGTGTGGTAATGTGGTTGAAGACTTTTAAAAAGCTTATCACTAACATGACCACTTTCTTTAGGTACAGTTTTTGCACTTTGAATATGATGCATTGTGACTACATTACACTGCACAACATAAACTAAAAAGAAGTTTTAATTAGCACCTCTACCAGCTATAACATTAAAATGCTGCTTATATGTTAATGTACCAGTAAGAATAAACCAATAATACAACACTATTAGAAGAGTTTCTGCATAATGACTACTTTTACTTTTGAGGATTTAAGTTTGCGAGTGTGTGAGTGTGTGTGTGTGCCAGCAGTTGTTGTGTATATTCAGGACAAGAGTGTAGGTTTGCTTATGGACAGTAGGGACAATATTTTGGAAGGACAGAACTGTCCCTAATATTTGAGCAAAATACCCTCCCAGAGGCTGTGGTAAGTTATTGGCTTTGATGCATGTGGCTATTGTTTAGCTGTTGTTTCAGAAACATGGACAACGCTGAGAGAGAGAGGGAGGGGGTGAGAGGGTGGTGTTGCCTCTCAACCAATGTTGAGACCAAACCTGTGCCCTTCATGCAGGACATAATCTCTCTTTCTTGCAGATACAGTAAGGAGAGAAACAGCCTTTCTCTATTAGGTCATAGTGGGTCACACAAACAAACATCGATCTTCTCTGAGATCTCTGTTTCATTTGCATGAACAAAATTACATCCCTGCTGCACATTTGTCTTCTGCAGCAGTTCGACACATCGTTCCTGTCCCTTCATCTCCTGTTTCTTTATGTTGTTCAGCTCTGTCTGATTCTGTCTGTACAGAGGAGCTGCTGGGGTCCTGACTGAGAGCTCAGCCTTAATCGTCACAGCTTCTGCAGTGCTGCTCACGCCACAGTCTCTGTATAATGTGCAAAGTGGGCCATGTTTTATCTTTGACAATGCAGGAACTCAGGAATTGATTAAATTGCACAACCTTATTTCCAAAGTGACCTTTGAGGGGAAGTAAATGAGCTTAAATCATTTGAGTTGAGTTTGACCTTACTGGACATGTAAATTGTGCCATTGACCAATAACAAACTGCTTTGCTGACCTTTGAGGGAATAGAGGGCCAGAGAGTCCAAAACAGAGGTATCTATCACTGGGAGACTTTCCTAACCATAACCAAGAGCTGCCAAGAGCTGGAATGTTACATTAAACAAATTTGGCTATGTCCAAAGCACACTACTCCATGTCACAGTCACCAAATTCACAAACACATTCATAAGCTGATGGTGGAGGATGTCATGCAAAGTGACAACTGCACATGAGAAAGAAACTAATCATTCACACACATAGATAGCATAGCCTTGGGAATTTGGAGTTCAGAATCCTGTCCAAGGACACTTTGACATGTGGGTTGGGGAAGCCAGGGATCAAAACACCAATCTTCTATTAGTTAGATGTCCCGCTCTACCTCGAGGCCACAGCCGCCCCATATAGACTGCCATGTTAGGCTGGCTTGCTTATCAGGAGCACTTTGGGGCTTAGTGTCTTGCTGAAGGACACTTTCACAATTTGAAGGAAGAGCTGGGGATTGAATTCACAACCCTATGATTAATGGGCATCCATCTGTGGGCATCAACACCCTCACCAACCAGGTTAGCTTGCAGTGAACACTATCATGTAGCCCCCTTAGGGGTCTGTGTTGACTTGAATCACTGAGTGGTGCTGCACTCATGTTTACTGATGAGATGAAGTTAAGGATGAGCACCAGAGGCTTGTGTCAGAAAACCACAGTGGAAGTGAGAATGATAAAAAAAACACAAATACAATTACACTTTCTGACTCATCTAATAGCCCAGCTTGTGTACAGAAGCTCCTCCTGATGGGTTGGTGGCTCGGTTTGTGTGTGCCAGCATGTGCAGGACACGTGTATACTTTACATGATCAGCTGAAGAGTTTACTGTTGATCAAACGAATGCTGCAATTAGTGAATGTCAGCAGAGTTTTTTATATTTTACATGGTCAGGGATGAAGAGGAAGGTGCATTCATGGAGTTTAATCATTAACACAAGTGATACATTAATGCAAGATATGCATAGGTATCATATTCCCATGGCTCCTAAACAGCGTGCAAAATGATCAACTGATGAACAGCTCCACGTCTCCACACAGTATCTGTTGATTGTTCCATTCTTTCTGCCATATTCAATGCAATTCAATTTTGCTTTATTGGCATGAATGTCAAAGAACAGTATTGCCAAAGCTTAAAAGATAATACAAAACAACAATTCATTTACGAACTCTCATGTTTTTGGACTTAACCTGTTCACTGTCAGTCACAGTTTTTTTGCTGCTCACATTTAAACATTTTAATATGAAATAAACTTCAAAATGAAAGATACATTTTTTAGAACCGGTCACAAAATTAATATTTACATTTTCAGTGGGTTCTGTAGGTTAATTAAGCAATTCCAGGCCCTCTGTAATATAAAGTGACCAAATGATGACATTTATTTTGTAAAGTTCGGCTAGCATGCAGTGCTGAAGGGCTGGATGCTGAGCTGTGTCTCATTAATATTCATGTAAAATGTGAAATAACTGACAGGCTAAGCCTTAAAAAAAACTCAGACCAAGACAGCAGTGTGTCATATGGGAACATCACACAGCACCCTCCACCTCTGGCTGTCCCTCTGTGGAACCGGAGGATGTGATGAGGCTGTAAGGCTGACGTCAGACCTAACACATGAGAGAAAATGTCTGGTTGCCCCCGGTAACCACATCCTTTAAGACAGCTGTGGATATGGAACCTGCTCTTTTGCAGTCTTAGCTTTCCAAGTTCATTTAGCGCTCTAGTGGGGTATAATAGTTGTCTGCTTTATAGCTCTGATGGATTAAATGTGAAGGAAATGATGATATGAGAACTAAACAAACCTCTCAAGCATATTCACATTTTTCTGCACAGAAAAATCAAAGAGTCAGTGTTTTAGAAAAGTGTGTATACGTGAATTCCTAACTAGAAATACGATGACAGGAAAATTACGTTGTCAGTTGTAGCACTTACTTTTTGTGTGGACTGCTTGAGATGTTGAACCAAGATGCCTTGAAAAGGGAGCTGCAAAAACAAACAAAAAAAAACACAGCTACACAATGCTTGATGTAGACATCCTGAGTTCTAGAATGGAATGATGAACATGGCTGAAAATGCTGTGTAGAAGAAAAGATTTGATCCAGATGTCTGGTGTTACCACAAGCGGATAATGGAGGTAAAAGTTAAAGACCTGCTGCACGAAGGCCTCGACTGCGACTCAGTACCTGAGCCAGTAGAAACCAAAAGGGCGAGAGGACAACATAGGAGAGGAGAGAGAACGAGCAGTTTGTTAGTTCATTGGAATGTTAATGAATGAACGTCAGCAAACTGTAAGCTCAGAACAGTAGCCTGCTGCTTCATCCCCTTGAACCAGAGTTAATTTCTCTGAATGAGGCTCATTAATGAACTTGATGGATTTACTTTGTCCAGTCATAACCGCACTGCTCACAGGAGAGCTGTCAGCGCCTCCGGTGGGGTTGGTATTTTTGTTAAGAGTAGTGTTTTTGACCTCTTCTGTTAGCATTGTAGATAAAGCACATGATGGAACATCGGGGTTCACAGTATTCCTTTATCATAATCTCTTGCAAATCTTTTTTTTTTGACATTTATTGGCACTGATGTATTCTGCTGATGTAGACTGTTTACACTGATCCATCCATAACAAACTCATCCCTAAATCTGTAAAAGCCGCCCCTAGAGTTCCATTAAACTACAGGACAACAGATCCATCAGCTGGATCAAGCTACAGTTAATAAATTGTACTGCAATGTTTTTGCTGTGAACTTTAGTTCATTTTAATTTGCAGCGTAATGTTAATTTTGTCAAACAAAAAAAAATTTTTTGTGACTACCAAATCTCAGAAATGACTTTTCTACTCATAGCCTACAGTATATAACATTTAATTTAAAGAGAAGCCAGAGGTCCCTATGATGCTTTGTTGATGCTTGTTCTTCAAGTGTAAGTCGCTTTGGATAAAAGTGTCTGCCAAATGAGTAAATGTAAATACACAATTACATTGAAACAAAAAATGTACAGAAGGGAAATAAAAATGCACAGTCCATATGGTCTTCAGCATTTAGCCACATGTTATCATCCACATCACATCTAATGTCATCTCTCACCTTGTACCTGGATGTGAAACACTTACTGGTTCAGATACTTCCTCTCCTTGGCCCAAGTATTCTTCTCCTTTGTTCAGACATTATTCTTTCTTTCTCTCCTCCTCTGTGTTGTTCTGTATCCACATTAGATAAACTCATCTCCCCTTTTTACTGCTTTGTGTCACGATGTGTGTTTGAACATGTTGGTGGACCCAAATGCAGGACACGTAGGCTGACTGCTACAGTTCAAAGATTTATTGTAAGGCAAACAAAAAGCGAGCACACTTACAACTTGAGTGGCTGAGTCCAAAGAAATCCAAATAAGTCAGAGTCCAAACAAAACAAGGCGATCCAAAAGAAAATCCAGAAAGGGTATAATCCAAAAAACACCGAACAGGCAGAACAAGGCAGCGCATTACCAGTTACAAACCACTACAATGACCGGACAAAGACTGAGGGGAAAAAGCAAGCACACACACACACACACACACACACACACACACACACACACACACACACACACACAGGGTTAACAAGAAGGGTGGGAATAACACAGGTGACAGAGATGAGACTAATGAGGCACAGGCAGGCAGAGAGACAGCAGGGGAACCTAACAGGTTGCAAAACACAAGGCAAGAATCTAACTGGAACTCAAAACACACAACACAAGCAGACAGATCACAAATAATCCAAATAAACTACATCCAACAGGGAAAACAGAGTGAACTGGGATCAGACAGAAACACAGAGCAGACATGGCAGATAAATAAGAACTTAGCAGACAGGCAGACAGAAACCAAGCATAAAACAAACACCAGATAATAACAGAAAGAAACAGGAACTAAGGCAGACATGGATCAAAACCAAACTAGACAGAAAACAGACTGAACAGCACTAAAGGCACAGGGTAGACTACAAACTAAAACAGAGACTAAAACAAAACAGTGAAACAAACTGAAACAAGAAGCGCAGAACAGACTGACATCAAACAGGCAGTGGAAAACAACTAACTAACTAAATAACAAACACCGGCAATACTGAACCCAAAACTAAAGACAGAGCAGAAACCCAAGACACAGACTAAATAACAGATACAGAAAAGACTAAAATAACAAAACTGAGAATAAACTAAACAAAGCAGGCAGGCACACAGCATGACACATTGTGTATGTAATTGAAGGAACCTCAACACATAGCAATGTCTCTGGTGGAGATTGGAATTAGCTGTGGATGATCTATTTTACCCAAATGACAATAAATCAGCTATTTCTCAATGTTTCAATGATATATTCATTCAGAAATGCTCATCAGCTGTTTCAATAGAGATTTTAAGCTGCTATTGTAGCAGAAGTAAAGGTTTTATACATTATTTAATGTTTTGAAAATGATATCTTCAGTTCTGACATGTTGTGTGCTAGCATTTGTGAATAACACAGAAAACATCCATAGTTTTGGTATAGGGTAAGCTGGTACGTAAAGAAAAACTTAGTATTTTAGAAATGGGTTAAATGACTGCATATTCTGTGTAAACAGCATGAATTGTGTTAATGGTATGGTATGAACAGGCCGATGTGGGGCTAACTGTGTTTAGAGTTTCGAAAATGTGACTACAGATTGGACAAAAGGATGTTAGCGGTTGTTAAAAAAAAAAACTGTAAACAGAGAATGCTGTATCCAACAAAATAACATGTTGGAAATAACGTTATGATGTTATGGAAGTAAAATTTTTTGAAATGTCTTCTTTCTGAATTTGTGGAACTGTATATTATGATACATCAGGTAGCCATCCGGGTGGTTGCTGTCCAGTGTCTTGTACACTAAAATAAACACTCAAATAAACAAATCAAACTGTCAATCTAGCTACTAATAACCTTTGGTACAATGGCCCCAGAGTTTAACTTGAACTGTCAACAACTCTCATTGAGAACTTTTTTATACGTAAGTCCTATTCCAAATAGAAACACTGATCATTAAACTCTGTCTCTCTCTCTGAGCATTACTCATACATTATAGGCTTGACTTTATTTCACTGCATGTTGTAGTTTAAAAAAATATATAAGTTTCCAATCCATGCTTTATATTTGGCTGTTTAATAAATAGCTCTTTCATTTATGAATAATAATATCATGTTATTTATTTCAGGGGTTAGATTCCAGGACATTTAATGATTACGCCATAATCAATGTGACCTTTCTGTTATAGTTCATCTCATCCATTTTACAAACCAATACAGATTATTGTAGAACTGCATCTCAGAAACACCTGATGAAGTTAGAAACGTGTTTTAAGTATTATCAAATATTCACTATAACAGCTTGAACTGACCAGTTGAATAAAATTACCTGGAAAATGTTCACTGGGAATGAGCAGGAATGGTATTTGAGGACAACTGAAATGATAATATTAAGTGGCGGATTAAAGAGGATGGGTTTTGGATTTAAAAAATGTAATTTTATAGAATTCTTGCTGTGTCTTAGGTGGTGTATTTAGAATATAATGGTTGTGTTAATCCACTCTTTCCTGCTCTATATTTGTCCATGTAGATAATCCTTTTCTGCATGTGAGCTGTTGCTTGAGCTGCTGAAAATAGCACTCACATCCGCTTTTCCCTACTTCCATTCAGAATGGATGGTGGATTGTGCCACATCTCCGGCACACATAGTTGGAAAAGTGCGGTAGCCTGTGGAACAATCTGACAGAGCTTTGGGTTCAAAGATTTGTCTGTGAAAGGCCCTCTTACTCTGTGATAACCTCAACCACTAAAGAAACTCTTTTCACGAGGTCAGTCACTAGGAGGAGGTGGAATGAAGAGGAGTCCTACTTCCATGAGGTATATATATATATATATATATATATATATATATATATATATATATATATATATATATATATATATATATATATATGAGAATACTTTTTTAAGCCTGTCTCCTGCAAAAAAGGTTACATACGACTAATGTGCTATGCCAAATATGTTTTGGTTGAAAGGTAATTGCTACCAGGATGTGTTTAATAAAATCATTTAATATGTGTTTTTATGGGGGCAAACCCCTAACCTCTAACATGCACTTCCTGTGCTCTTCTTCATCTATCTCCTTACAATTTTCTTCTATTGATTGCACTTTGTTAACTCTTACTTTTTTCCCTAGGTATTTAATAGGGTTCGGTTCCTCAATGCATTGCGATGCATCACCTCAAGGGTGGGAATTTCTAGGTACCTCATTACGATTATGAGGGCTACAATGCAATTGTAAAACGAACAAGATAAAAATGTATTTTTCTCACTGTTTGACTACTTGGTACTTTCAAAGCAAAGTATTTGTAACAATCCAAACAAGTAGTTAGTGATGAAATGCACATATGTAATGTTACTTTATATAAATGTAGCTAACATTGCATAGCATTATTACATTATTACTGACCACTGCTGTTGCTATTTTTATGTCTGATGCTGCTGTTATTAGTATAGAGTCAGATGGGGGTTGAACTACGCACTTTAAAATGCTCCAGCCAAACGTTTAATATATCTGATCCTTTTTTTGTCTGATATAGTGTAGTTACATTTTGTGTCTTGTCTTGAAAGTTGATTCATGTAATCTTGTATTGAGCACCATGGGCCTTGAGAAACAGCATTTTGTTCATTTGTGTACTCGATATGTGGATGAATGACAACAAAGAAACTTGAACTAGAAGCAGAAGAGGAGATGTTAGCTAGCGCTAACTGGCTTCACTTTTCATTGGTTGGAAAACGACAGACAGACTTTTATTAATGGACACGCTGTGACCTGCACATTTACTGCCAGACTGAAACGTAGCGCTCATGTTTTCCTTTGCTCCGCTGCTTTCACCGTCACCTACTGCCGCATGTCACGTAGCTGACCTTTAAAGAATGAGCAGAGGATGCTAGCTAAGCGCTACCGTGCTGCACAGTGTGCGGGTTGAAAATCATTAACGTTAGTTGCATATTGATTTTATTGATAAGGTCCAATTTTAGTAGCAGCAGTCACTCAATCAACAGCTGTCTGTCTGTGCTAAACAGCATTTCCGAGTTCCGCCTTTTTCGTTGCGTCAACATTACGTCATCCATTAACCTCTAGATAATCGATTATTGACATTTGTGAATCAATTCATAATCGTCCAAGTCCGCATCGCGATGCATCTAAAATGTTATTTTCCACATATTTACCCCATTGATGCCATATGTGCTAGTAGTTCTTACTTGTTTTTATTGCTGCTCATACTAGTATTTATTGTCTGTTGTTGATCTCGTGCTGTATTTGATGCTTTGTTGATGCTTGTTCCTCAAATATAAGTCACTTTGGATAAAAGTGTTTGCCAAATGAGTAAATGTAAATGTTATAATCAGGATGTCTAGATGTCCTTTTGACCTGCAAATCACCACATCACTGCTTGCTCTCCTGACCAGTTGCTTCTACAGTGCACCAAAGTGTGAAGCTGATGCACCAGCTGCTCTCGTAGCGGAGTGTGAATGTGTGGCACTGTGTAGTTAACCAAGGTGGTGTCATGAGGGTGCGGTAGAGTAACAAGGGTAGGACCCAAATGTAAACAGTGTGGAGAGGAGGGACAGGGAGATAGACGGTGGCCTGTGAAAGGTGTAGCTCAGTTGACTCTAGATAAATAATGCTTACCAACACTATATAAAAACAGTGGAGGTGTCTGCATCAGCAGTAGGATAGGCGGTCTGGAACACAGCAAGCTTTGGCTCATATTGCTTGTCTCTAAAGACATTTAGAGTAGATATACAGTGTATTGACAGCTCAGCTGCTGCCAAGTTATGTGCACTGTGCTGCACTGTAGTGTTCAGCTACAGATACACGGGATGGAGAGTACAGTCCGTCAGTGTGATTTTAATTTGATCAGTGTGTAATATTAGTCATCTCTCAGTTGCACATTAGAGAAACTCGACATTTCTTCTTGTGCTGAGTTAAGCATGGCAGTTCATCTGTGACGCATCATACGAGGACAGACAAATCCCTTCTGCAATATGGATGAATGCGAGTCATGTTGACTAAATAGCTGTGTAGTACGCATGTGTACAGCTCAGTGTGTAATCTCACTTTTTCAGATTCAAAAGCTAACAGTCTCGAGGGTGAGAATGAACACCCCGCTTTGGCTCAGGAGATAGAGCGGGTTGTCCACTAATCAGAGGGTCAGTGGTTTGATCCCCCGGGTCCTGGAGGAAGACACGGAACCCAAAGTTGTTCCCAATGGCTGTGCCAAGGTGTGTGAATGTTCCATTCTGAATGGTTGGAAGACCAGAAAGGTGCTATACAAGTGCAGTCCACAACAGCAGCTACAATACAAATCAGTGGTGCGCAGGCAGGTTGGTTCCTGATTTTTTTGTTTTAAGGGGTGGACTTACTGATGTCGGGGACCTACAGGTAAAGTTAAGCATGAAACCCAAGTTGGGATTCCCAACCCTGAACAAAATATATGCAATCTTTGAGCCAGAACTGAAGGGATTCAAATGGGCCCTTAATAAAGAGCCTGGTTTTGACAAATTGTAGGAACATCTCTGGATTATATATTTTTTATTCATGGAAGAAATGCCACTGAAACAGCCTTTTAACACTCATGGTGCAAACCACCTGAAAATACGAAATACAAAATCTGACATATAACATATGTTATATAACATGCCATATACCAGGCAGGCAGCTCCTTATTTGTCGCATGCGACTGACATTACTTGCTGGCTGAGTGAATTTAGTTTCCTCTTATTCGCACAGAGCCATGAGTAATTGGAAACTGAAAGCCCCATCTCATGGTTGTCTGCAGCAGCACTTCACAGACTTCAAAGCAGTGCTACACCTCACAAAATCTCCTCAAAGAGACACCCCTCCTCCCTGTCTCCACTCCAGAAAACATCCTCTTCCATCCCCACTGACTGTACTGCACAAAGCTGCGTATTTATGATCAATTGATGGGCTAAGCATTGCAATCCATCACATTATCTGTCCTCTCGTTTATTCTCGGAGCACTGGCAAATTCTGTGTTGGAGAATATCTAGGACAAAAGCCCACAAGCAAACATCCACAAAAACAGTAAATAGAGCCATAAAACTGCCATTAAATGCCTCAGTAAATTTCAGTGTTTTTTTTCTAAAGTAGAACACTGATCATTTTCATGAGCATATTTATATTGTCTGAGACTTACAGGTGATTCAACAGGTTACAGGTTTGTTTTGCTTTGCTCTTTGCTTTTCCTATTCTCCAAGTGACCAACATCATTGCGGTTAAAAGGATACAATAGACCATACAGAGTTAGTCATCAATTTGTAAGACTTGGGTTTCCAAAGGGAACACTCACTTTTTCGTTAGCAACCGATGCCACTTTTCTCATCTCGTGAGCTAAACAGCTTTTAATCGCAGTTATTTATTTAAATGAAACATACACTGAAAAACAGAGCAGAAACAACAACTGTCACTGAACTTCAAGTCAGATGTCTTGGTAACCTTCGTCGAGAAATCCAAATTCACATAACGCTTAACTCGAAAGATTAAAGATAGAAAGTGGGCAAAAATAGTGGACGCAGTCACCGCTGCATATCCAGCATCCAGTGGAGAGTTGATGCTGTTAAAAAGAAAATAAGCCCACTGATACGAAGAAAAAGGCAACTGTTGTGTCCAAAGAGCAGATGAAAACGCTGGTGCTCCCTCACTGACCCTGGCAGAAACCCGTACTCTTCTCAGGAAAGTTAATAATTAAAGTTAATAATTAAGGTAAAAAAAAATAATAGTAATAACAATAATAATAAAGGCTGGGGGTGATTTTTTAAAATTTATTTATTGTCTTTAATGATCTCCTCCCATCAAAGATTTGCATTAGAATACTTTTCATACATCAAGCCTTCACATTATTTTATGAGTCATTATCTAGCAATACGGTAGAATCAATGAATAAGTTCTGCCTGTTGACATTTTGTAAAAGCAATTAAAGAGCAGCCATGTGGTTTAAACGAGTTAGCAAACACTACCTGGTGGAAAAGTAAAAGTTAGGACAACTTAACAGTTCTCCTAAAGTTAGAAGAGTTCATTTAAGATTTTACAAAGTTAGGATGCTTCTGTAATACACTTTTCTTATCCAAAGTTAGGAAAGAAACATTGACGTAGAAACTGTTAATCTGTAATGGCCATTTTCCTAAATCAGTTCCTAACCCTTGGTGGTTACCAAGCAGTTACGATAGGATCTGCAGGTTAGGAAGTTTCTGTAATACGGCCCCTCCACAATCCTGCAAAATGTCTACTATACTCATATTTACTGACGATGTCGTTGCTTTACTGTTGATATGTAATGTCGCTCCTATCTCTAATGGTCCCTTATTCATACTGTGGAAACTATTTTCTTGAAGCGTCTCAAATACCAGCATACACAGCAGCATGAAAATCTCAATGTGGTGTAATAATCCAAACCCATAAGAAATCTGATGGTCATTCTTACAAAATGTTGTTATTTCATAGGTCTTGCCTAGACGACCAAAACCTGATTTCCAGGCTAAAATCAATGTTCAGATTCCGGAAAGAATTGAGTGGCACACAAATTGTCTTGCGTTTTTTTCTAAAACCTTGTGTAAGCAATCTTTTGTAGCTATATTTAAAAAATGATACATGACATGCATTTTTTTAAATGCAGAATTGTCAACGGAATTCAACAATTTATTGTGTTGAGACTATAAAGACGTGTGAAGAGTGCAGTAGTACAGAATTCTTGGAGAGACAATTGGGGCCAGTGGGATGTAGCCAGAATCCCGCCAACATAAAATGGCTTTGTGATTTATTGACCAAGGCTCAAAAGAGAAGATGCTTTATCCCCTGCCTTCAAGTGAGGCCATTTAAACAGGTATAAACACTTTTGCCTTTAGATGCAGTTGGGGGGACATGTCACACTATCTAGTTCAGTTGAAGCATACTGAAGGCTCCAGGATCCATCCTCTGGGGACTGTGAAAATCCAGCGCAAATTTCATAGAAATCTAGCGAGAAGTCTACAAGATACCTTTTGATCAATGTGGTAGAAAGACAGATGGACAGACCAGTCAGTCACTTATGGGGTAAATGCTTGCATGTGAATTGAAAGACGCCTATTTTAGTGCTCCATCAGAGGAAATACTGTGCAGGACAGCATATGTGAAAAACAACAGCCTTAGTTGTTTGTTTTCCTAACAAGAGCAGCTCTGTGAATTATGACTGTTGTCTTTCCATAGCAAAGGCGGTATTAGCTTGACATTAGAGAAAGAGCATCACGAGAAGGAAATTGGGGAAATTGTATGTCCAGTATCAGTGTGAATATAAGTGCATCTTCCATACATTTAATGCTGCATGTGTTGCTATTGCGGCAGAGGATGATGAGTCCCCACTGCATTTTCCCCCCATGAAGTCCTAGCTAACCGTTAATCCGGTTAGTCACATCACAGAGCTTCTGTATCCACCAGCTCAGAAATCCTCAAGTCATTTACCCTGACTAAAAAAATGAGGAAAAGAAGAGAGAGAGCTTAGCTTACTTTGACCAACTGCCACATAAGATTTCACAGTGCGCTGCTATCCTCCTAGTTGACTGTAATTAACTCAAAGTTATTCACCTAAAGAACTGCTCTCCTCTCTTCATCATACCATCCAGTTTCTGCTGGACAGATGCATTTACTCTCTATTTAAGTCACTATTTTGTTGAGTAGACTCTTTCCAGGGCAGCACTCGGGGGGATTAGCTCCTTGTTGACATTGCAGGGGAAAAAAGGAAATCTGGAATATGAAGCTTTATGGAAACACTTTGTGAAACGTTGTATTACAAACTGTGTGTATATATATATATATATATATATATATATATATATATATATATGGTGTCCTAGAGACCGATGGATTAGCTCCTCGTTGACACAGCAGGGGGAAAGGAAATCAGTAATATCACGATGCTGCTTATCTACCACCCCACCTTGTTCTCCTCCTGTGTTGCAAAAGTTCAACACATCCCTGTAACCATAGTAACTCACTCTCACTTCTGCCTGCATGCGCACAACTCGAGAGGAGATATATGCATATGTGATTGTGCATAAAGCCTATTTTAAAAACATTTGCTGACACAATCATGAATGTACCCTTTTGGAGTTGTTTAGTCCGACTACCCAACCCAATATCCACTCAGATGTAAAAAAAACAAACAAAAAAAAAAAACAGTAAAGGTGGTTGTGGTACAGATTTCAATGTAAAAGAATAATAGTACTAATAATGATAGCAGTGTTAATGCTCATAATAGTAATTGTAGCAGCGGGTGTCAAGCAGGAACATGGGGGCAGCAGGAAGCCTAAAACCACAGATCCAGACTCCACAGCTCTGGAGGCAGAAACACCTGAAAGCAACAGAAGGAGAAAAAAACGGGACAAGGAAAGCACAAAACTATGGGAGGAGGGAAGTTAGTAACATGCATTAATGGCATAAGAATGCATACAGATGGAGAGGTAGAGGAGGCAAGAGGAGCTCAGTGCATAATTGGAAGTCTCCCAGCAGTAACAAATAATAAAATAAATTGATTGATAAACTGATCAGTCAGTTGTTCTATTAAGTACTCATTTAGATTGATATGTCATATAATTGATAATAGTATTGATAATAGAAGCAGTAGTAGTAGTCGCAGAAGAACAAGGGTAAATGGTGATAGTACCAATAGTGGGGACTATAATGTTATAAATATATAATGTTATGTTATAAAAACCAAAACACGACCACACTTCAGACTGAGTTCTCTGAGGACTAGGCTGAAGCTCTGGAGCATTGTTACTCCTCTCCGCCATGTTCATTGACCAACAACAAACCTACGTTGCATGCAATATGTGTTGTTACTGTGAGTTTTTCAAAGCACTGTAATCAAACAATTTTAATGTTTGGTACATTAACTGTTTAATTTTACCGTTGTTCATCATTAAACTGGTAACCATTGCCTCCATATTGTGTTTTCTGCTTTGGTCATGTTTTACTCCATGCCATTAAAGTGTTAGTTATTTCATTTCTGGAGCCTAATAGTGCTTGTTTCACCCACCACAGTGTCCATACCTCTTTTTATTTATTGCTCATTCATTATAAATTTTGTTTCTTTTTTTATTCTTTATTATCTTTGGGTTTTTTTAAAATCTTTTTTGGTTAACTTAGACTATACAGAGGAAGGCATTTGTACAGTATATCTTTAACTGATAATCAGTCGTGTGCATGGCTGCAGAATCTGTAAACCATGTGAAAAGTAGTTAAAAGTAGTTCTTTTGGGTAGTACTGTCATCTTGGTGATTAATGACACTGGTAGATTCATCCATCTGTCTGTGTCATCTTCTATCATTTTGATCAGTGGTTTAAAATTTAAGTGCACAAGCTCTGATAGCTGGGGGGAAATAATTACACCTGGCTATCTTTTGGTGTCTGTGGAAAGAGGGATGGGTGTTGGTAGGGTTGCTAGATTCCAGCTCTTTTTTAAAGAGATGCAACAGTGATAATTCTGACTTGTTGTTAGAGTAGTTTGAAATTTTAGATAATCTACTGAATAGGTTAATGGTTTCTTGTAGTGGGTTTTGTAAATAGAGTAGGATACCATCTGCGTATATTCTTATTTTATGTCTTACCGTTGAGGATTGCACACCTTCAATACGATTGTTCTGGTGGACGGTTGCAGCAAGTGGTTCAATGCAGACGGTGAAGAGGGAAGGAGAGAGTAGGCATCCTTGTCTTGTCCCCCTGTGCAGAAGTTGATAAATTGCTTTCCTTTCCTTCAATCGAAAGCTTTTTCTGCATCCAATGAAGCTATTATTGTTTCCTCATTGTTCTCAGTTAGCCTATCAGAATGATGTTGAACAGCCTGTGTGTTATTGTATGCATGTCTTCTTTTGATAAAACCTGTTTCATTAATAGGAATTATCGGGGGTTGTTTTTGAAATCGCTTGCTATGGATATTATCGACAAGGTACATGCTTTGAGTTGTGTGTACGTGTGTGTCTGTGTGTCTCATCACTACAATGAGACAAAACATACTGCTCTGCCAAGGCAGCTGCCTCACCCACTGTTACTACCTGCTGTTCTGTTAAATATGTGGAAATACGGTCAGAACAGCAGTTTTCACCGATGCATAACTCAAGCCATCTGCCACAGATAAAGCTGAAATTGCTTCCTTAGCCCTACCGGTCAAAACACATTGCAACAAGTGTGCGATCCCCATCAGGCCAGTCCCTAGCGTCAGCTAATCTCTCAAACAGAGAAAATAATGTCTCGGGGTCCCTGTCATTAAATTTCGGAAGTAGCCGCAAACTACTGTGAAGAACGTGCACCTAAAGTAGGACTAACTCCACCTAGCTACTGACTAGCTTCCATGCTTAACCTACCCTCTCACAGTACTTTTATCAGCTGGCAACACCTCCATGTCATACAAGTTAGCCTTCAACACAGACCTAACAGTGTCCTCGAGCCTTTTGTCACTGATCTCAATCTTATCCATCCATCCATCCATCCATCCATCGTCAACCGCTTATCCTGCGTACAGGGTTGCGGGGGGGCTGGAGCCAATCCCAGCTGACATCGGACGAAAGGCACCCTGGACAGGTCGCCAGTCCATCGCAGCTCAATCTTATAATGGTCAGCTATTCTCAACAACTGCTCTTTCGTGCAGCCATCTAGAAACCCCTCTGATGGAATCTCAAAAACCTGGACCAAAAGAACATGAAGTAATCAACACGCTGGTTACTAATAAAGGCAAAAAGGAGCGTCCCTTCTATCTGCCTAACCACACACTAAAGTAACTCACCCCTAGTCTTCATTGGTTAGTTGCGGTGGGTATTTACACACTATAGACCGCTAGCGTGAGAGTGACCAGCCATTGGCAACTTCCTCACCGCCAAGAACATGCTCTCGAGACCTAAGTCTCCAACCACATTCACCACAGCACTACAGAAATAACAAACCAGCGTAACACAAAGGAGTAACGCTCTTATACCTAACCGGGGAAATCCCTTTAGTGCCAACACGATTACACACCAGCATGTCAACACTTACCTTCCCTTGGACAAACAGGTTTTCCACTTCACAGTTCCACCAAGGACACTCCGCTCTCCCAGGTGTCTTCCTCGACCTCAATTTGGCTATGTCAAACGAGGCGGAAACCAGAATATGCAAATTAACTAGGGAATTCCACAAAAATCCATCCCCCAGATGAGATATGTACCAACCCCCGTCACAGATTGGTCAGGCCACTCAGACTGCCAGGGAAACCCCCACAATCAACTGCACCTGGACAGCTCAAGCACAAAGAGAATCAATTAAATATAAACCAACAACGGCAGCGGGAATCCAAATTGGACAAACCCCCATTTTGTCACGGCTGGCTCAAAACCGCGACAAAAAGAACAGTATGACCCAAAACTGCAGTAAGGGTACCATTACTTTTATTTTTCAAGCAAACAGAAACAACTTAATATTCAAATAATCCTATGAAGTGTGATAATCAGTAGGTCAGTCATGTCAGCAGGTATGCATGCTTGAAGGAATAGTGAGTGGAGTGTTGTATAGTGAAAGAAACAAAAACAAGGAGGTGCATGGAGCATTGGGAACAGGGTCTCTAGCCCACAGTGCAGGACATGAGACGCGCTTTTATACTGGAGAACACCGGGCCTGAGTGAAGCCGTTTTTCATTGTGAAGTTTAAACAAAAAATCAAGTTTTTTATTGAGGGATTGTAAGATAGTGACCTCAGTTTCTGTGGTCTGAAGATCACTTGTGTCTGTGGATGATGTCTTTTTCTGTTTTCTTTCGGGTTGGATGATTCTTGCTGGGGAGTATCAATTTTAGATTGGCTGTAGTAGTAATCGGTATATGCTTCCAGGTCTGCTTATCCCTACAGTGTGCAAGAAGTAAGTGGTTGTCTGCGGTCTGAGATGTTGATTATGGCGTTGTGTGTCATCAGGCCCTGATTATCTACACAACCATCTTTTTCTCTAAACGACTTTCTTTTGCAGTTAACTTAGAAATCAATCATACAGTCTTTGCTTGCATTATCATGTTTTTAACAAATTCCACTGCTTTCCTGCTACACGCTAGTGACATAATCCAACGCTACAGTTTGCCTCTGAACTGTACTCTGCTCCCCACCTTGTAGTGAGCACATATTGGTTATCATATATCAAGAGCCTCAAGGCCAGATTCTTATTGATCTCCTGTTCAGTCACACTAGATCGTTCTGGACTTGTTGGCAATCTGCTTCTGCAGGACCTTAGGGTGAGGCTGACCATGATTTCATAAATCAGTCCATCTTGCACTGTAATGAGTGGAAGCCAATGCTTTAACAGACACATGAGTGAAAGACACCGTAAGAGCGTGTCTGCTCTTTTCTTTTAGGCTGGAGCTTTAAACCTGCAGAGTGGAATTTTTGTCCCCCCTTCTGGCAATCAGAGTAATTCACAAACACTGTTGATACATGCTCATGATGAATGCCTACAGGTGAGCTCACCCCAGGCTCGTGTTCAGAAATAGTTACAAAATACAGAACATTTCCACATTTCCAAGACAATAATCCATTATTTAGGGAGAATTAATCATTTATATTGAATATTTTACAAATAGCAACCTGTCCAAGAGCCGTAACACGACTTTGTGTCTTAGTCGCTCCTTCCAACCCTGTCCAATAGGAAAAGCTATGCCAATGGTTATCCATGTTTGTCCTCGCCGATGACCTTTCTTTGTACCGCTTCCTCTGAACGCTGAGTTCCTTTTTTTATCTGGAGCATCAGAAACTTTTCTTGGACACTGTTACGTTCCTCCGGATGGTAAGTCCAGGGGGAAGAGGAGCAACAATATTTGAAATAAAACCAGGGCAAAAGAGGACAGGAAGTCAGAGTTATGTGCAAACTAAAAAGTGTATTACAATATTGACAAAGGAAAACCAACACAAAACTACTCTCTCAAAAGGAGACAGCGAGCCAACAAGGTAAGGCAACAATAAACACAGGGTAAGTAAATGAGGGAGCAAGGTTCAACACTAAATAAACAGCTGAAAAGTCCTTTCTCCACTGTTCTGGACTCACAGAAGTCTAAGGCAGTGTTCAACCCACTGGTTGAATGGGCTGCCCCTGTCCGCTGGACTGATGGGTCTGCAGTGTGGTCATAACAGGTAGCAAGGGAAACAGACTGAGTCCTGTGAAAAAACCCAAGCCTTCTTATCCTCCAGGCACTGAGTGGTGATCAGGCACACCTGCTGCCACTCACTCATGCAGCCGAGGCATGGGGGGAAGGGCCACTACCTGAGAGAGAGAGAGAGAGAGAGAGAGAGAGAGAGAGAGAGAAGGAACACATCCCAAACCAAACGCATGACCCTTAGGGTCGTAACAGACACTCTCATGCATACCATAGTCCTACTTGCTGTAGCCTATTCCGTCGCTACGTTTGCATCGCTCCGTCCATAGTCATGTGGATAGAAATTCAGTTCAAATTCAATTTAACTTGCTTTATTGCCATGACTGCATACAGTTAAACATTACAAAGCATATTAACGCAAACTACAATCAATATAAACATAAATAAAAAATCTCAGTTAAAAAGATTTTTTTTTTTTTGAGCAATGGTGGATTGTGGCACTCTCTACATGGCTCTGGGTTCCTCCCCTTTCACTCTGGTATACTGCGAAATACAGAGAGCTTTACCTGGTGGAGGCTTAGGCATTGTGTGAACTCGTTTGGGAAGGGCATGAATGTAACAGACATTCATTTATATGTAAGTCCCACACTCACGCTTTGTGGAGCTAGCTATCCCTGTTGGTATGAAAAATATCCACTGTTAGCTTTACATGGTGCCCTCAAAACTGTTTATTTACCTGTATATTTCAACAAGGGTCATGTCAGTTGGATGAACAGACAGTGCCCAGGAAGACACTACTTGTTTTTATGCTCCATTATTCACTACCATGCAACTGTGATTAAAGTTGAGTCAGTGTTCACCGGGCAGATAAGAGAGAGCTGTGTGGGGGTGGACAGATGTTCAGTGGAGGCATCGCTTAGTCCCACAGTGTTCCTGTACACACAGTCTATCTCAGTGCAGTGTGAATACTGTGCCCAGCTGTAGTGCTGTGTGGTGTCAGGGTTTGACGATGGCTTCTCAGCACTCTGCTTATCTCCTCAGTGCACGTGGGCAGCGGGACGGCTCCACAGAGAAACCAAGGTCATCTCCCCTCTCTCCCTCCCTCTCCCTTCTGCTCTGCCTGTCTGTCTGTCTCTCTCTCTCTCTCTCTCTCCCTCTCTCTGGCTCGTGAGAATAGAAATACAGTCCTCCTCAGATAGTGAAGCATGTGCTGACAAAGGATAAGCGGCTGGATGCCGAGAGAGAGAAGACAGGAAGTGTTGTTAGACATGTCAATGCTTCACTTCTTACCTCAGTCCACCTCAGTATGTGTTTGATTTACATATAGAGAGAAAAGAAAACAAAAAAAAGTTTTAATAATTGTCCATCCTTGAAAAGTCAATATTTCTTGCCAAATCCTACTTTGCATTTATATTTTTTTATTTATTCTACGTGTTGATGTGACTTACCCCCACATTACCTCTGTCTGCCATGCATCTCAGTCAGAGCCTGTGTATGCACAATAAACATAATATATCAATCTTACCTGCTCAATACCTACTAAACACATGGGAGGATTTCGGGTGCCCCGGTACAAGAAACTGTCATTTCACCTTGTGTACAGACTGATAAATTTGATCTTTTAAACTTTTTGACATAGGCGCCATTGTGCTGGACGTGTGCCTGGTAGCAGGAAAGAAGTGGAAATTTTTAAAAACATGACGATAAATGATTGCTGGATATTGTTGGCCTTCTATGGACTCGCACACATGCTGTTAATCTTCGTGTGTGTCTTTCAAACATATTTCTCTTATATTTACTTTTATAGGTGTGTAAATTTAAATTTATTTTTTGCCCCATAAAGGATGAATAAAGTATTTAGAATTAAACTGCATTGAATAAAAATCAGTATTTTTATATTAACAATGGATCAAATTACTAGTGTGAAAGGTGTGGCACATTCTCTCAGTTTGTGTTTTCTAGCTAATTGTTTTGGTTTTACGGTCGCAACTTAAAGATCGTAAGATTAGATCTACAAAACTAGGGAATATTGTAGGTTGAGTTGATGTTTTGGTAAAGGAGCTAAATTCAGCTTGTTTTTTTGAATCTACACTTCTTTCTACAAATGTTGCACCTCACCACAGCTGTCACCTTATACCTGCAGCACAGAGCAGCAGGTGTCAAGACAATGAATGTTGTCCTTGTTTTTGTCCATCCACTAAGCGAGGGCTGCAGGTCACCTGCATGGCAGCAGTAGAGTGTTAGGGATGCCAGCCACTTAACACGTGGCATGCCTGTTTCTCAGCGGTCCGTCACCCTGCTGCTATCCACAGCTCCACTGGCCTCCACCTCTGACTCACCTGCCATCCGTCTCCATCACAGGGTGGAAACAAACACCCTGAGCTGCAGCAGATGCTTAGAAGATGTCAGTGGTGGAAAATCTACTCAGTTTTCCTACTTAGGTAAAAGTATAGATACCACTAAAATGTTATTCAAGTAAAAATATAAGTAATCTAGGAAAACACTACTAAAGTAAAACAGTACTTAAGTATCAAAAGTAAAAAGTATGACACACTCAAATCTATTGATATTAACCAGCCCATCTTTTTAAATTCACTCAAGGTAGGTTTGAATACAGCAGTTAAGTTATAGTGAATCACAATAAGGAAAACTGAGTCCCAAGAGGACAAGTGGATATTTGTGTGGTAGTATCCCCTTCAGATAGTCTGACAGACACAGAACCCCGTTTGGGACTGTATGTTACGATGAGACACAGGTGAAAAACAAAACTAACTGAAAACATGATCAGAAATCAGAAATCTCACCACACACATCTTAACTTCAGCACCTCTGATAAAGTGCAGCTCACAGTCCCACACAGAGCAGGTTTGCGCCTCAGATTTAAGATGTTTAAATTGCAAAACTCTACCAGATACATTAACACTCACAGTGCGAGAGTGACTTGAGTACTATCACAGCATTAGCCGGTGTCACATCAGCTGGCTGGAGCTGATTCACATTTGAGTCGACATTATCAGTCATACATTTGTTTTTCAATGCTGCTCCACTCAGGTGCGCTGCATGTTTTTCATCGCTTTACTTTTGGAAAGAGATATCTTCCTCTTTACAGATATAAGAGGCAGTTACATCCAGAGCTGGAGCTTCCAGTTTAAAATAAAAAAAAAAAATTGGAAATAAATGGCGGTTTGGACAACTTTTTGACATAATGTGCCTTCTTGCTATTGGAAACAGTTAGATTGGTCCCTGCCATTAACTTTTTCATCTTACATTAACATATTTTATTTTAATGCTTGTAAACCAGCTTGAGGATTGTGAGCAGGGTTGTAAGATGATTTTGGCTGCAGTTGGTAGTGCAGGACCACGTGATGCACACTCAAAAAGCCTTTTGCCATACACAATCAAAGACATCTACACTCACCTAAAGGATTATTAGGAACACCATACTAATACTGTGTTTCACCCCCTTTCGCCTTCAGAACTGCCTTAATTCTACGTGGCATTGATTCAACAAGGTGCTGAAAGCATTCTTTAGAAATGTTGGCCCATATTGATGGATAGCATCTTGCAGTTGATGGAGATTTGTGGGATGCACATCCAGGGCATGAAGCTCCCGTTCCACCACATCCCAAAGATGCTCTATTGGGTTGAGATCTGGTGACTGTGGGGGCCATTTTAGTACAGTGAACTCATTGTCATGTTCAAGAAACCAATTTGAAATGATTGGAGCTTTGTGACATGGTGCATTATCCTGCTGGAAGTAGCCATCAGAGGATGGGTACATGGTGGCCATAAAGGGATGGACGTGGTCAGAAACAATGCTCAGGTAGGCCGCGGCATTTAAACCATGCCCAATTGGCACTAAGGGGCCTAAAGTGTGCCAAGAAAACATCCCCCACACCATTACACCACCACCAGCAGCCAGCACAGTGGTAACAAGGCATGATGGATCCATGTTCTCATTCTGTTTACGCCAAATTCTGACTCTACCATCTGAATGTCTCAACAGAAATCGAGACTCATCAGACCAGGCAACATTTTTCCAGTCTTCAACTGTCCAATTTTGGTGAGCTCTTGAAAATTGTAGCCTCTTTTTCCTATTTGTAGTGGAGATGAGTGGTACCCGGTGGGGTCTTCTGCTGTTGTAGCCCATCCGCCTCAAGGTTGTGCGTGTTGTGGCTTCACAAATGCTTTGCTGCATACCTCGGTTGTAACGAGTGGTTATTTCAGTCAAAGTTGAAGTTGGAGTTCAGGAGATTGTCTTGACCTGGACCACACCCCTAAATGCATTGAAGCAACTGCCATTGATTGGTTGATTAGATAATCGCATTAATGAGAAATTGAACAGGTGTTCCTAATAATCCTTTAGGTGAGTGTATGTACTGTATTGTTTTGCAGAGCATGCTAACCAGCTAGCCCCAGCCCGCCCTGTCTCATAATACTGCTTTGCACCTCAAGAGGCGATAGTCCGATAGTACAGCCACACCTCCGCACAACCCTGTGAGAAGGAGCCACATTGGATTTTGTGTGAATGCAGCCGAAGCCATGCATCACCCTGTCTATGTGTGCATAGCTCGATCAGACAGACACACAGACCTGCAGCTCTTTATACATCCATGACACAGAGAGAGCAGCAGAGGAGTGAGACAGAGACAGTGATGTCCCGACCTCACCCCCTGCACGATGCCCAAAGGTTGATGCCCAGAAACGTCCCCAATGCAGCAAAATAAAAATAAAATCCAGGCAGAGGTTTGGGTCTCTGCGGATACAGACAGGAGGAACTGGGGAAAATCCTACTCACTATGCCTTTAAGGACTGAGTGAATGAATGAAGTTGAGAATCTGCTTATGTTTCTTCAACTGTAGAGCAAACTTTTACAGCTGCATAGTATAAGATAAACTTTGAACATGCTAAGCTAGAGTGTTTACTCCTATTTGTGGAAGGATAAAATGCATCACCTTCTCATACCAGCGGATTTTATGACCAAAAGTTGCTGCAGATATAGAATCTAAGTGAAGGGACCAAGGCTTCCTAACAAGAGTTATTCAAATTCAATTGTACACAGGGGATCTTGATAACAATGAAATGCATATAATTAATATATTTGTTTATCTGTCATTACTGTTTACATATTTTTTGCCACGTCTATCATTTCTGTATAAATTGGATTGCCTAGTTTTTGTGAAGTGTGGTGACTTGAAAAGCACTTATAAATTCACTTCATTTCAATTCAGTTTTATTTATATAGCACCAAATCACAACAACAGTTATCTCACAGCGCTTTTCATAAAAGAGCAGATCTAGACCGTACTCTGTGATGTTATTTACAGAAGCCCAACAATTCCCACCAAGAGCAGCACTAGGCGACAGAGGCAAGGAAGAACTTCGTTTTAAGAGGCAGAAACCTTGAGCAGAACCATGGCTCAGGGTGGGCGGCCATCTGCCTCGACCGGTTGGGGTGAAGGAGAGAGAGAGAGAGAGAGCGAGAGGAACAGAGAGAAACAGGGAGAGGGATGGAAGGAGAGAGAGGGGAGGGAGGCAGCCTACACAATATACACACAGAGGTACAGACAGTAAAGGTGATGTTGCTATAGACTGAATGAAAAATGGTACAGATATTTATAGTAGTGTTAATGATAATAATCGTAATGTTAATGATTATAATAACAATAATAACAATAGGTGTTGTAGCAGAGGGTGTCGAGCACGAATACGGGGGCAGCAGGTGACTCGCAACCACAGATCCAGACTCCACAGCTCCAGAGCCCGAAACACCTGCAGGAAGTGAAAGCACAAGACTACGGGAAAGGGGAGAAGTCGAGTTAGTAACATGCATTAATGGGATGAGGTTGCGTAGAGAGGGAGAGAAAGAAGAGGAGAGAGGAGCTCAGTGCATCATGGGAAGTCCCCCGGCAGTCTAGGCCTATAGCAGCATAACTAAGGGATGGTTCAGGACTCACCTGAGCCAGCCCTAACTATAAGCTTTATCAAAGAGGAAAGTCTTAAGCCTACTCTTAAATGTGGAGATGGTGTCTGCCTCCTGAACCCAAACTGGAACCTGGTTCCACAGGAGAGGAGCTTGATAGCTGAACGCTCTGGCTCCCATTCTACTTTTGGAGACTCTAGGAACCACAAGTAACCCTGCATTCTGGGAGCGCAGTGCTCTGGTGGGGTAGTAAGGTACTATGAGCTCTTTAAGATAAGATGGTGCCTGACCATTAAGATTTTTGTAGGTGAGAAGAAGGATTTTAAATTCTATTCTGGATTTTACTGGAAGCAATGCAGAGAAGCTAAGACAGGAGAAATGTGATCTCTTTTCCTGGTTCCTGTCAGAACCAAGCGGCAACCTCCGCCTCTCACTTACGATACCAATACGGAAGTATCTGAAACTGCAATTCATTGAGTGGCCACTTGAGGCTGGCTGCAGAAAGGAGTCAATCTCCATTGACCCTCATATTAAAATGCCCAAATTTACAGCAGAAAAAAACATGTTTACAGTCTGGTTCAAAAAATGGTTTTAGTGCATATCCCTAATTTTGCCCTTTGTGACAACTGTGAGGCGGGTGAATTTTTTTATAACTCACCTATTTAAATTATATTAAGCCTTAAAGTTCTGCATTATTAGGGGCGTGGCCGCTTTGACTGACAGGCACCTTTAGCCGCTGCCACTGCTAGCACTCGGTCCGCCGTCTGTTAGCCTCACTCAGCTACATGGAGCTCTGAGGCTCAGCCTGTCGGAGCCTTTTGGACATTTCTACATGCAGATACCAGATGAATAATGGCAGGCTGTGCAGTTCACTGGAGAGAGAACCTCCAGGAAATCCGTGTTCTACTAGGTGAGTGAGATTCCTGTATATTTATTTATGTGTTAACATTTAACAGGAATTGCTTTCGGCATATAGCTTGTTAGCTTAAGGTTAGCTCGTTACGCTAATTAGCCAGATACGAGCAGCCCCAAGCTGCTAAGTTAGTGTAGTAAGTAAGTGTGTTCTAACCGCAGCTTTTAATGAGTCAAAGACAAGTCAGCAAGATGTAACGTTATTACATTAACCTTAGTGTTAGACATTAGGGCGATAATGCTTTGAAGAAAAGGTGTCTGTGTGAAGTTGTAAATAAAGGCTCAGCTCTGTTCGCTGCCGTTATGTTAACGGTAACTTTTACTAACAGGCGATGTGAGATTTAGCTACGTCCTGTAACGGAATCACTGTTCAGTTACATACTAGTCAGATACTTATTATAAGTGGCTGCACCTTATCCCGATGGACACGATGGGTTTAAAACAGAGTTCTGCCTGAAACTGTCACACCGAGGAGCACCGATGCCACTATTTGAGCTAGCTGTCTCTCCCGAGGAGAGCCGTGCACCTCCAAGTGTAACGTTACTGTTTAAAAACGATAACGTTATACTATTCTTTGTGGGGTTCATCAGTGGGGATGATTGATTCAAAGTACATATTGAAGGCAGTTTAGAGTCATCAATAAGTTATTACACTTAGTAGACATAGCATTCCTTGAGATTCAGCAAACAGTCTGAGGTGATAACTGCGTTTGATCAGCTACGTTTCTGATAAGAAGCCTAAGAGGTGGATGCATAATTCGGCAGAACAGCTGTTCTGTAGGCTACCTGCAGAGATTTACATCCACCTTTTTTGTCAGCATATAATGCCTGCAGACAGGTAGCTGGGCTGTAACTAGGGC